TTGGTTTCATCTTTTGAGTTGCCTTACTGACATAAATGAACATTTGCACGATATTCTAATTTTTCGAGTTTCACCTGTAAGTGAAAAAGAATTATAAAATGAAGAGGAGCCATCTCGCATTCCATGTTTTCTGCAGCTACCACGTGGGCCACCAAGAAAGGTAAACCTTCCTTGTACTGTACTGAAGAAATGCAGTAGGGAACTAGAAGGGAAACACTATTCGCTGCCAACACTTTGCACTTCTAGGTGAGGAGATCATGTTTGTGTGTATCTACCCCAATCTATATTCACATGCAATCAATTGTGACAGCTGAATTTGTCTCAGTGCTAAAGAGAAAATTGAGATACAGAAACATCTTTATAATCTTTATGTAGGATGACTAATTGTGTTGGTCTTCAGTATCCATGATAAGATAACTCTCCAGGGTGAGTTAACTGATTTCAGGACAAGCACCTAAGCCTATTACATCTTTCAGAGACACACAAGGTCACAGATATTTCAGATAGTGACAAGCCAAGAAAAGAATAATTATTTCTAAACTCAAGATACCCTACAGGGCTGACTGCCAGAACTTTGCTTGGATAGACCTGGAAGTGAAGTTTCTACAACATTTCCCATGACCCAACATAGATGGGGGAGGTATAACAGTTTGTCTTGGCCACTGGATTTGTTGTGGCTGTAACAAATATTTTGGCTCTCTTTTCTATCTAATTGCCAGTAAAAATATAAGAGACTTACCATTCAGAAAATGACAGCGGAACACAAGTCAGTTAAACAAAGGGCATTCATACTGTAAACATATTATATTCTGAACACCAAGACACAGCCAAGAGTTGTTCTGCTGCTGCCTATCCTGAGCAGTTTTCATAAAGCACTTCCCCTCACTTTTTAAGTGCCGATGTCAAAGTGGTAAATACCACATTCAAAAATAAATTTAATTAGTCTGAAAAAAACTGGGGTAATTTTTTTTTTGTTCTTCACTTTAATGCAAAATGTTTCTGCAAATTCTCCTAGGCTAGGGTGTAGCTTCTTCTATCCTTTAAAGTAATGATTTATTGCGGCTCTTGCTTCATCCACTTTTCTCACAAGATTTCTAACAAATGATAACCACACATTTTCCCAGCTTAGAGAATGAGTTGGAGGTCAGACAAGGTATGTTAGTTACATTAGTAGATGGAGGTTGTTACCACTTTGTTTTCTTTCAAGTAATGTGGAACTTGTCACATAAATGGTCTTCTTTTGAACAAAGAGATCTCTACCTGTTGTGGTACACATGTTCTTTAACCATGTACATTATGAATCATGTCCAGAAGGAAGACAGTAAATTTGGAACCGAATAAAGATGAACAGTTGATATGTGTTTGGGGAATTACTACTGAATAGATAAAGTTTGTTCTGCATCTAAAGAAGGTCCACCTAATTCTGTATCATGTTATCAGTTGTGTCCCTACTTTTTCACCCGTTTTTTTTACCCACTTTTTAAAAATGTGAGGGTCAGGTAATTTGCTTTTCATTATTTTGAAAAGTATAGCTGTTCTACTGAATATTGATAATGTAAAGTTGGGAACTACTGAAGGCTACAGAAACAAAAACAAGGCCAAGAGCCCTTTGTACCCCAAATAGTGCAGGGCTGATCACTAAATCTTTCTGGAAGATATATTTCTAGAGAAAAGAACATTATGCAACTTTCCAGGAGGAGTCATTTCTTCCTATTCTCTTTGAGTATGACATGTTAGATATTTTGCAAATGTATTTGCTGCAAAACAACAACAACAACAACTGTAAAACAGCTCTACACACGCCTAGGATTGTTTCCTTAACTACATTTAATTGAAAAGATGACTGCTGCCCAAATTAATTCCACCACAGTAAGAAATGTGGCTTCCTCATTTTCTCTTGTTTTAAATTATGGACATCTGGAAGGCATGAATCATAAAAGTGATGTTACAAAAACATCTGTTTGTACTGTGTAGACACTAGTCCAGTGTGATTAGGTGATTGCATTGTTTAGTACGTTAACTCCCTTTCCCTAGAGGCAAAACAGTTTATGTCCACATTAAATTTTGAAAATCAGCCAATGCTATCTTTACAATGACAGTAGCAGAATGCTGACTTCCTTTGGGCAAACATTAATATTAGTCCATACTCTAGTTATACAATCTAAAATCAACATTGCAGAATTTAGTTTTTTGTTCCACTACAAAATGTTTATACCATTGTTTGTAAAGAAACCTCACATTCAGGAATTCATCTTGACAGACAGAAAAGACTTGGCTATAATAAAGAACCTGCAGCTTTCTAAGGTAAATTGTAAATCCAGCCAGAGAAAGAGAGAATGAATGGCAATGAGCGTTATATTTCCTTGACCAGTTTTCCCAGCCAGCCAGATGTGCGGACTTCAACTCCCAGAAAGCTCCAAAGCTGAGATAAATCCTTTGGCTTGATCCCTGGGAAATTTTTGAGAAATGTATAGGCTAATACTTAACCCCTCAATCCCTTTCATATATGCATGGGATAACTGATGAAAGCTATACATTCTATTGTACCCAGAATAGCGTTTCTATCTAACCCACTCACAATCCCCCCCGAATAAAATAATATGCAATGTTCAATCATATAAGCCACTCTCATATCTAAAGTAACATTGTTACCTAGAATGGCAAAGGGATGCTTTACAATAATTATGTTTTTTGTGACCCTCAAAGATGTTGTTGGACTCCAAAACCTACTAGTTATTGTGGCCTACAATTATTATGGCCATTAAGATCAATGTGTTTTATAGTCTAACATCTATAAGCTTACAGGTGGCAATGTATATTTTATTCACTTTGCCTGAAAAAACAAGTTGTCTTTTCATTTTTTCATGGGGGTTAGGTCTGTTCAGGCCTATTAAGTCTTGAAGATTCAATGTTACTTATAAGTTAGGTACAACACGCCTTCAAATACCAGGTGCAGAGGAATAAAAGCAGCAAGAAGATATGTCTCCAGTTCATACTTGTGAGCACACCAAAAACTCACTGTGGCTGGCCACAGTGAGAAACAAAAGGCATCAGCCTGATCTAGCAGGACTTTTCTAATGTTCAAATATGTCAGCTATTGGATTTTACTTCTATCTAGTACAATGCTTATAGTTCCTACTAAGGAACTATACTAGGTGGAATTCAGTCATTAAAGAATAGGCTTAGTTATAAATGCTGTTTATAAGTATGCCCTGAGGACAGTTCGGCCATTTGTAAATGTCAGCAGCAACCTTCTTTTCTTGATTATTTCAATTTTTACATGAAACTCAAAGACAGAGATTCCATTCTGCCCTATTTCTTCCTAGCATTTTCTCCCACATGTGCAGGGTCCACTTTTTTCAGATCATCCAAATGTTGATCCGTTGGTTATGGTAGGAATTGACCAACTGGCTCGTCACCCAAGCCTGACATTGTGGGCTGAGAGAGAGTGACTGGCCCAAAGTCACCCAGATGGCTTTCATGCCTAAGACAGGACTAGAACGCAAAGTCTCCTGGTTTCTAGCCTGATGCCTTAACCAGTAAACCAAACTGGCTCTCCCCATTCTGCCCTACAATAACGGTTAAACAGAAGGAAATTCAGGGTTCAATGATGCAGGTCTATTAAGGAAATTGCTCACCACTAGATGGAGCTACAAACAAATAAGAATTGCTATAAAAATTAGAAAAAAGAACAAGAAGACCATAGGCAAAGATATCCTGAAATATAAAAGATAACCAACAATAAAAAAAAATCAATTCATCCATTCCTATTCTGATAGGAATATATCAGAATAGGAATGATAAAATAATGGAATTGTGTCTTACAAGGTTCCATTATATCATCTTATCCAAAATGGATGTGCACGTGACAACTTTACAAGCAAATGTTACAGCGCAGAATACAATAGAATGAGAGATAAAATATCTGTAATTCTGAAAAAAACCAAAAAAATTAAAAATGGTCCATCTTTAATAGGACTTCAATATTTCTGGCAATTCATATCACATCTCTCAGGGATCGGTTTTCTTCAGCTTATCCCTGTTCAAACAAGCCATTAATTTGTCCTATTCCCATGCATGTTTCTTGATATCCCTAATATTTCTAATGGGATATATTTAATACATACACACAATTTGGAAAGCAAATACACTCTGGATTACATAGTTTGTAAGAAACAAAATACATGAATAGTTTTTTTTAGCATATCCAGATATTAGACTATAGACAAAGTGATTCTTTGTTATATCTCATATTCCTCATGTGAATAGCTTTATTCGTGAGCTGAAATTTCTGCTGGAACTTGGATCCTAGCTCTTCCAACACCTAATATGTGCAAACACAGCTATTCTTTGATCCAAAGAATGGAAATATCTAGGAAAGAGGAGCCCATTACTTCTTTGGGTGCTAGTTTCACTATCATATTGCTCAGCCAAATATATACCTTGCTACAAAAGTCTATATGAAAAACTATTTTTATTCTGTTATCATCACAGCTGCTTTTTCTGATCCTTACTTCTGGAACCTAAAACCTGGACTATCTCATCAATAATCGTAAGGAGCTACCATATATTTGTCCAATATATTCTTAATATACTGCACCATTTTAACTATGTTTAATTGAAGGAGCTAATTTTGACTCAGAAGCAGAGTATAAATGTGATTTAAGTGACAAATAGCTTTGATTGTACTCACCCACTTGTAATATCATCAGTCCTTATATTTTTCCCAAGGACATCTCCATCACTCATATAACCTGTAGCATCCATGTTGATTCCTTCAAGATCTACTTCATCACCTCCTTTGTCTGTGATATCCATGTGGCAAACATTATTGTCCCGAGATGCTGGCTGTCTTCTCAATGGTGCTGAATACATGTAACGCCCTGGTTCTGCATTGATGAATCGGCTGGCATTGGCTCTCGGAGGATATCCATTACCCACTGATGGAGCATCGCCTGCCTGAAGACGGGGACTGGACTGCCCAAGTCTCCAAGATAAGGGTGTTGGCCTACCTGTCAAACTGAGGATGCTGCGTCCGCTTATTTCAGTGGTGACATTAGTATCAAAGGTGGTCTCCAAGGTGCTTAAAATAAGAAAAGATTCAAGGTATAATAATTTCAACAAATAACTGGATTTATGGAAAACGCTAGAAATATTTTATTTAAATACTAGATGTCTGCAATGAAAGAAAAGCAAGACAGTTTTTGTTTGTTTGTTTTCATCTTACTAATAAACTATGGGGCAGAGGAATATTAAACTTTCACTAAGGTAGGCAACACATTTACTCAAGACAACCTGCAGAGCTCTATTTAATACACTTGTATCCTCTAGATACAATCGTGTTATAGTACTTCCTTGATGAGACCATTTTTTAAAATATTTTTTTAATCCCACCTTTATTATTTTTATAAATAACTCAAGGTGACAAACATACCTAATACTTCTTCCTCCTCCTATTTTCCCCACAACAACATCCCTGTGAGGTGAATTGGACTAAGAGAAAGTGACTGGCCCAAAGTCACCCAGCTAGCTTGTTGAAGATGTCAACCATAACTACTCATTGTTAATAATTGCATTATATACCTATGCTATATAACTTTATGACTTTGTGGAACTCCAATGAATAAACTTATCAAAGTGCTCTCTGTTAGGCCTCTGCTGTCTGACAGGGCTCCAGCTTTTATTCAAGGGGAGGGGAGTAATGAGGTGTCACACAAAAGCATTTACAGGCAGTCCTCATTTAGTGACCGGCAACTCAGTCGTTAAGCAAAGCAATTGCTAAGTGAAACTGCAACTGTACTTATAATCTTACTTAGCTTTCCTTTGTTTTACAGACCTGTGAAGTTTGTAAATGTGAGGACTGGTTTGCAAACTTACTTTTTCATCACCATCGTAACTGTGAACAGTCACTGTATGACACAGTTGCTAAATGAGGACTACCTATACTGGTTTGGTCTGGCACAGCCAGAGGAGGCCACCTCCTCTTCCTGCTACTGGAGGTATCCTTTTTGCATCTTCTTTTGCCCAGAAGATCCTACGTCATCGCAAACCACCATTTCAGGTCATAGGCTAGGCCTAGCTCCAATGCTGTCCTGTCACTGTTTTGGCAGTTTTATCCATATAGGAGTGGTGGTTATGCTGGTGGAGAAGGTTGTCCTGCTAGCTTAGATTCTCCCTAAATGGCCAGCTTGGGGTAGAAACTGGAATACCCCCTTTGAAATGAGCAGGAGTGATGCTGGTGGTAACTTAGCACCAGGAAATTGAGACATCAATGGCCAGAGATCTGCATCTGGATACAGCAGGAATTGTATTCTCTCATTTTTTATATTGCAAGACACACTTCATTCCCTGCCAAGTTTGCTGTGGTTGAGCAAGACAGGTCACTGTTCCCTATCTTCGTCCCTTTTCTCTGAATCAGCCATTCTTTTGCAACCTAATGGCTGCCAAACACATGGAAGCCCCAAGTGAAGCTAGTCTCACCTCACCTGCTGTTCACTGGGGTAGGCAGAAGCAAGCTACTGGAAATTAATATAAAGGCAGTAGGGAGAATGAAAGAGGTCAGCCTGCATAACATGGAAGTACTGGTTAGTATGACCAGTGAGTGGGTAATAAAGCAGTGAAGACTCTGGAACAAGGAATGTTGGAATAGTCAATCTTGCAGCCACCCGTAGCAGCATGAGTAATGACAACATTCCAGCTTTGAGTGTACAAGTCTGCTTTGCAAACACATAGCTGGATTAGTGACTGACTGCTCTCTCTCTGTCTGGACAAACCAAAAGTCACCTTGTTCAGCCAAGGGAGTGAAACCCTCAATTTTTCTTGCAACCCCCCCGAGGGGTTTGAGACACATAATTTAAAATTCCTGCTTTACAATATTGCAGGTAGCATTTTCATGTCAATATGGGTGGATATCTGTTACGGTCCTAGTTATCTTCTGAGAATGGTCTTATGTGTGGTATTGAATGTTGAAAAACCGAATATTGAAAAAAAAGCCTAACAAGCAGAAGATATAGTTGACCAGTTGATTCTGGTTTATATTATTATGAATCCTAGCATTAGTAAAATCTTTAAGAAGGAACGCAGCTGCACCGAACACCACTTGCCTTGAGTATGGTAAATCTGGAACACTTTTCTTATAAAGGACATGCTCTACTAATACATTTCAGCCTATTATTTGTTTAGATTGACTGTTGCAACACCAGAACTTTGGTAGGCCTCTGAGTGAGTCTAATGATCCCATGATAATGATCATTAAATCCAACTGATTCCAATGTATTAAAATTTAAGGAATAACATTCCCATGCTGGAAGTTTATAACTTAACTAGGAGCTGAATTAACTGAAATTGTGATGAAGCCTTTCAAATAGTGAATTTATTTTAGGCTGGGTCTGAAGTCTAAAGAAGCTTCTTTTCTTAATTTTTTTGTAGTTATGGCAGAAGGCATCTTTGGAAATATCTTTCCTGAGAAATCCATTTGGCTTTGTGCTTCCAAGTTTTAGGTGGGTCTTAAGGACTTTTCAGTTGTGTCAGGCCCTTGTGTTACATTACTGATGACTTTTTTGTATTTTGTCTTTTATTTGTACTTCTGGAATTTATTCTAGTTTTTTAAAAATTAGCATTTTTTAAAAACTAGGAGGGCTTGAGTGAAATATGTGCGTTGGTGTAAGTATAACTCCACAGTTAAATTATACTACTTCTTTGTTGTGATTTCTTCCCAAGCATTTTGCTGATTGCCTAAATTGGTAATTTCATTATGTTCCATAATGTAACAATAGACAATTTTCATTTCTATTTGAAATATTACTAATAAAACTTTTGCACTGCTTTAAAAAAATATGACCATGCACAGCTCATTAATAGAATTATAAGGCTTTGTTTATCCAAAGGCCAGGTAGGAATTCAAGTTATGTGCCTTATCAAACAGGTCAAATGCAGTTCAGCTGCTTGTTTAAAGACAATAATGTAGATCTGGTTAAAATACATTAAAAGACTTTCAGAAGTAAACCTAGGTAACATTTTAAATAGCAACCTTTGCACTTTTGTTTCTATTCAAACATCACCGAAAAAATATTTAACAAATATTTTTCCAAGGCTCAGCTTTTATATACAGCCCTCTCTGAAATGGTTTCTTCCACTACCTAAACTTACTCTTCATTAATCTCAGTAATGCCCTAATAAGGTACAGATTCTAGTTTTTCACATTAAAAAAAAATAATAATGAAGTGCAGTGCATAGTCAAATTAATCTTTGCCATTAGTGATTCATAACAATCTCTCAGAGGCAGAAAGAGTCAAGGATAGGCAACATAGTTCTATTCCTTGTAAAGAAACAATTCATGCCTCTTACCTATGGGAGACCTGAGTTCCTCGTAAGCTAGACATGGTCTCTTCTAAGTTTTGCCGAAGATCAGCTATATTCTTGACAGTTCGTAACCTGCGGGTTTCTGGATCCTCCCCTATGGAAAAATGTAACTTTTAGGTAGAAGTAACTAGACTTTATCAGTACAGAGCACGCACACACAGACGCACGCACACTTCACAATTCCAACTCAAAAATAATTTTCTATTTTTATATTAACTAAGACCCAGACTCTTTTTTTTGTTTTAACTGTTTTTCGCTAGCTGTTGCTTAATCTTGGGCTGAATGAGACATGATAGTGTATTATCCATCTGATGAACATAGGTATCTCTTGTACACTAATCTGAATGATGTTTAAAATCCAAAATCATTTATGAATGTATTAATTTTATCTCTCTTTCACTATCTCAAAAGCAATCTCAGCCTCTCACTATTATGTTTGTATCCTAGTCTTATAATCAGTATATAGAAGTTCTAGAGGTCAACATAGGTTTGAAAAATCCTGCACATTCTCTATTTAGATTCCCATCTCTCCAAACACACACTTTCATTATCTCTGGAGATATCCAATGTACATCTGAAACAAATAAATCTCATTGTTTCTGAAGGAGTGGCTTTTTTAAAACAAAAGAGTATCTCTTAAACATCTATTAAAATCTACTAATCTTCATGGCAAAAACACGCACTGATTAAAGCTAGCTTTTAACATTCCAAAACCAAGAATGATCTTCAGGCAGTCTTATACTAGAATACAGGGCTCTGTAATTTCAGGCAGATTGGAATTTAACATTTAGCATAAATTTGAAATGGAAAATTATGTTATCTACCAGACTGCTTCCTCAATAGAAAAGTACTTGGGAGAACATAGAAATATTGGAGTGCAACAATCTGATAAGGATATCATATATGAGCTCTCTAGAAAATGAATGAACAAAGGATATCCATTTTAGAGTGAGGAATAGTGCAGGAATTATTTTAGTGCACCACTTAAAATTTATTTTTGAAAGGTACCTGCATGTTATAATCCCAGAAACAGATTACAGCAATTGTTCAATTTTATGTTTCCAAAGGGAGAACAGTCCTTGCTCCTTTACCTAAATATGCTTTAGTCACCTTCAGATCAAAGCATATCTCTGTCAGAAGTTTCATTTCATTCAAGAAGTTTCCCTCAAAGGTAAGCATGCACAGAGTAATAAAACCTTAGTCTACAAAATCTTTTTGAGTGATCATCATAACAGGCAAGTCTGAGCTCTGCATGCTTGGAAAAAACTCTTCTCCATACCACTTATTTCAATATATTTTATTTAATGTATTTTACCCTGCTTTTTGTGTGTGTGTATTTAAAATGCACTTAAAGCAGCTAACAGAAATAGAATACATTTTAGACATCAGTCAATCAGAAGTGTCAGCACCAATTAATAAAGCAACTGAATAAATCCAGCACAAGGCAGAGGAAAAAAGCCACAACTGCACCTGGAAATGGAAAGAAATGAGGCTAGATGAAATTTGGGCCACAAGTAATTCTACAAAGTGGGAGCAGCCAATGAGAAATCTACCTTCTGTGAATATACTGGCTTGGCTTCATAGGATCCAGGTGGGACACAAAGACTTGCAGACTAACCTCTTCTGCTCCTCTAATAGATTGAGCAAATTTGTGCAGGTGTAAGGATTCTTAAACACTTTGTTAACATTTGTCCTACATCCAATTTTAAGAAGAATTTTGTGAAACTTGAAAGGGCCCTTTGTGACCTTAGATTTGAAATCTTAGTAATGCTTTATTAAAAATGTTAATATCTCTCTTTTAAAAAAAAAAAAATCTAAGATTACTGCAGAGGAGACCGATAAGGAAAAGTTATAGTAAAGATATATTTGTTGGCAAAAATAGTTGCCAGTTTGAATGTGCTGATACAGTAAGTGCATGGTAGATTTCCGCTCACTTCTTCTGACTAAAGATACTTCTTTTTTTAAAAAAACAAAACTTTCTGGGATCATAGAAACTTTAAACTCAGTTTACATTCTATGCAAATTAGCTCTGCATCTTATAAAAATTAGGGATTTTCCTCCCTTGGCAACAAGAGCAAAGGGGTACCTGCTTGTTTTGCATTATTTGTATTTTATCAGTTGTCATGGTGCCTCAAAAGAGGAAATCAGATGGATATTTGATTTAAAAAGAAACCTAGAATAACATTTTCCAAACCTAGGAGTTTTACTTATCTCACTTGGAAAAATATCTTTGAGTTTAAAATTCCATAGTATCTCCTAGTCTTGGGAGTGGGGAAAAATATTCTTCCTTATTACATAAATATTTTCCATACCAAAGTACAAGACTTCCCTACTTTGCTTTTGTACTTAAATGGAAGCATCAGCAGGAGGTGGCTCTTGGCTGATTAGATACTAAGCAGGTTTGTTCCTGATTAGTAACTGGATGAGCACAATCTGGGAAGTCCAGGTTTGCAGGCTAGACTCAGGAGTTGAAAACGCATCCCAGAAGAAAGCAGTTGGATATCATTTCCACATCATGCCATTAAAACTGCATGGATGCCTCCATGTTACTCCATAGGAATCAAATTTGACTTATAGATGAGTGTTTTATAAAAAATAACTTTTGAACAAATACATCTTTCCAACCACTGAAAAGAAATATTATTGAAAGTCACAACTAGAGGCTCATGTAGTCATTAACTTAGGTCCATGTAATTCTCAGTCTAATGCCCTTTAGATATGTTGAAATGGCAACTTCTAAAATTCCCAGGGAATAGTGATATAACTTAATTTGTTGAATGTATCTCTTGTCATAGTTGGGTCAGCTGTAGAAACACCAAATCTCATTTGTTACCTTTAACTGCTTCTTCTATATTCATACATGTTTTATTAAAAGTTTGCTATTTAGAGAACTGCTGAATAGCACTAGCCACTTGTCTTCATAAAAATATTGTTGTTCAGACTTAACATTTGGCTGAATAACAATCTGTAGAATATTAAAATCTTTATTAGTGTTTATACATTTATAACCTGAGTGGATGATAAATTAGGTGCAACTATACAAAAACTGAACACTAGGATAAATAACTTATTGGATGGAGGATTAATTGTGAGAACAGAAATTGTTGGAAACTTTCCAAAATCTGTGTATCTTCTAAGCTACTAACCAGTCTCCTAAAGATGGATCACTCTAATTACCCAAACATGGAAAAACTAGTTATTAGAACGGCAAAAATAATCAAGTGAATATCATATGAAACAAACAGAACAATTCTGAATTTCCAGGCTAAATAACAAAACCAACCTTCTGAAAAATGCTCAGCACCAACTCTGATAAAAGCATGTTGAATAATTACTGTCTTTCCATGACTTCAGATTCAGAGAGTGCTGTAACTACCTTAAATTCATGACAAAGCATGGGGAAATGTACCCTCTAAAATATGTTGAGCTGAAGATACTTAAGAGTTTAGAGGTGTACAGATAAAACCTTGCTTCTACATGGCCACTTAAAGTTTAAATGTATATGACATTGCAGCCAAGTGAGAATATACTGCTTATAGCTTCAATAATTTTAGACTATTTAGACATTTCAGGACTTATGTTTATGATGGAAAGATATAAACTATTGCCATCATAGCTGCTTTTTTTCAGCATAAGAACTGTATTGAAGGAATATGAGCAGTTAGCATTATACAGTATATGGATTTTTAGATATACAGTAAGTTTGTAATACTTTTGTTATAAATGCAAAGTTTATAGTTAACTAGTTTCAATATAACATACGTACACTCATTTTAAGAATCCTTCACAGTATTAGGCCTTTAAAAACACAATTAACGTTTCAAGAATCCAAACACCTTAAATAGAATACACTATATAGACTTAAATATTGGAAGTTCAGGCAATGTTTACAGCAAGAGCCCAAACTCACAGATTTTTGTTGTTTTTAATTTTTTAAAAATAATTAAATAAAGCATTCTGAACATTTTACATGGAATCCACAATATTTATTCAAGGTAGAATTGACATTTAAAAGAAGTACAAGTGGGCATTTTCAAAAAGTTAGATATAAAGTTAAAAAAAAAAAAGCCCATAGAAAGAGACTTAAGTAATCCCGAAACAAATTCTATACACAAAATAATGCTTCCTCTTTTGACTTTCCTGAGTAAGAATCTGAGATTAGCAGCATCTGCAGTGAAGATGCTGAAAAACTCACTAAAATGAAACACCAGGAATAAATATGCATGCTGTCCTCACTCTCATGAAAGAAACTGAATCTCACTTAGCATCTTTTTTTATTCCTCTGATTCAGAGAGCCAATGCACTCAACACATCTTATCTCTTACCAGAAAGATCTTCTAAAATAGGCTGTCCAGTTTTTGTGCAGGGAGCAGATTCCATGCTTGTGCTCCCTCCTCCAGTACCGGACTCTGCTGTTACATTCCCCTCATTGTCTGTCTGGGATCTGAAGTGCAAAACAGAGGTAAAGAAATAGGAAAACACATTCATTCATTCGTTCATTCATTCATATGCCAAAAAGAATTCTGGCATCAATATAACAATGCTTGCCAGTCATTGTGTCTTCTCCACAGGATACACTAGCAGACTGACTGTACATAATTCATTAGTCCCACGTTGTGCTATGTCCTAGAAATGGAAACAGGCACTGAACTGTAAAAAATATGAAATATTTGCTGTCAAAAGGCCTTCAACTGCCATTTTGAATAACTTCTGTTCTAAATTAAGTTTTCAATCAGATCAACAGTCTATACTGGTGGCTCATCATCCAACCATTGTTGAGGGCAACAAAGTTCAATGGGATATAAATTATTAATGCTGGCTATTCTTTATATATACTTATTTATTTCATCTCTAACATATCTATTAGGGAAAGATAATATTTTACAAAAATTGCATGAAATTCTGCACCAAATATATGATTTGCAGATGGTCAGAACAATTTTCTAATGATTCTTTGAGAAATTAAGTGAAATGGAATATCATGAGAGATATTGAACACTGATACAAACTACCTTTTCACTGATTCATACCTCCCTACCCATTGGCTTTATAAACAAACAAAACTGAGTATGAATTTTCCATGTTCAAACCTGCATGCTGGATTTTATATTCCCTTGGGTGGCATTTCAATAATATAGTGGTGCTCTTATTTTCCCACCATGTGTAGTTTGGGCCATAAACACCATTCTTTCACAGAAATAGGAAGCTTCAATGCATACTTTTTTAGGAAAGTGTAGATAAAGAACACGAAACAACTCTAATCATATCATAGTGAAGGACCAATACCACTGTAGCTACTTGCATAGGAAATAGAATCACATGGCTTTTCATCTTCTATTTCAATACCATTTTGGTAGAATGTGTAAAAGATGACTATGGATGTATTCCTGTTTGTCTATGCTACGATGTATTAGTGGCTACTAATGATGGATAAAACTGGGCCGATTAAAAAAAGTGTGGGGTGAGATTTAGATGGTATTAAGTAATAACTAGTCTCTGCTGAAAATTAAGCTCTTATGATGGTCTTTTTTCCCTCTTAGAAGCATCTTGCATGCTATAGGCATAATATTTTTATTCAATCATGTAATGTATTGTATTAATTCATACCTCACCTCTTTGACTTTCTCCTTGTACATTTTCCCTTTATTCCCAATTATTTTTTTCTACCAAAAAATATCTACAAATACATGATGCCTCAGGCACACCAGGCAGGACTGAATGCATTTTTTTGGCCTCCAAAAATGTTGCCCAGCTTATAGCTTTGGTTGATGCTGGAATGTGGCAATTAACTGATTAGTTGATTCTCCTTGAATTATGTCAATGAAACCAGTGAAGCTGGCATCTACTTTTGACAAATGTATCAAGCCAGAATATCTCTATATATACACTATATAATTACAAAGAATGATTTTTAATTCTGAACCCAAAGCAGTTCTATATCATTAAGTTCTGGCACAAAGATAATTAAACCATGATTTTATAACATGAAATTATTATTTACATCATACATTATGGATGTTCTCTTTACCTATCACTTTATTATCTTTTTCATCTTATTCTCGATTAAAAGCAAAAAAAAGTGCAGGAAGAGCAGAAGCAGGAAACCTTTCTCTTATGTATAGTACATTACCCTCAGCCAAATGGTGCCATGTTTTCTCAGGTTGAAAGCTACATGTAAACTTTGACTGTTATGCCAAGGTCATGTTACAAACAGTAGCAGAGCTACAACAAAGATTTAGTTGGGTTGAGGTAAAAGCTAAATATTATATGGGGCTGTGATCAGCCAACTTTCCAAGGGCTGCTTGCACTCCCATGACCTCAGAATATGCACTGTCGCCCAAGGCTGTTTAAAATAAATAGCAACAAGCAAGTAAGCAATTATTATAGTTTTCATAGCCATCCTTGAAGACAGATACGCCAGAAAGGTCTGGTTACACTAGAAAAGTCAGACTTGACAACTCAAGATTAAAAGTAACTCCTTACCTGTACATGAATGGAGCTACTGTGGCAGTATTTGGATGGCTGTATTGCTGTTGCGGATGAGGTAGCTGAACACTCACAGTATTGCTTCCTGTTGTCTGGGTGGTACTATTTGTTGGCCCATTGACAGCATGACTGCTGCTGCTGGAACTTAAAGCTGACCACCCTCCCATTCCTCTCCCATCAGTGGAAGCTAAACTTGATGTGGAACTTGAATTCTTGCTATCTAGCTGTGCTTTTTGATGAGAGAGGCTGGAGACTGGCTTTGCGCTTCGGCTTCTTTCACCTTCCTTTGCAGAACAACTTGGGGCACTTGAGGATTTCCCTGTGGTGTTTTTCATTCCTGGTTTTGGTATTCCACTATGTGAAGGGGCAGCTGCTTCTTTCTTGGCACTATTGAGCTTTCCTCCTTTTGGGATAAAGCTTGCAATCTTGGAGGATTTTTTTGGCATTTCATTTACAGCAGGAGGGACCTGTTCTTCCTTTAGCTCCTCTTTCATGTCAGCTTTTTCTATCACAGAAGTTCTCTTTGTCACATCTTTGTTTTTTTCCTTTTCTTTCTCCTTCTCTTTTTCTTTTTCTTTCTGTTTCTCCTTTTCTTTTTCATTGCCCTTTGGGGAACTCTTTTTATTGGTCAGAGCTCGACTAAATGTTCGTTGTGCAATTCCCTTAAGTGCAATTTTGGGACTATTTGATGTGGGTCCTGGGGTGTTTAAGTTCCGATTTGCAGCCTCCATCTCTTCATTTTCTTCAAAATTTGAGAGGCCCTCTAATCTTTCACAACTAGTGTCCCGAGACCCTGGACATTCAAGAGATGACCCTACTGCTTTGGAACCCCCTTTTGTATTGAAGAGTTTCAACTTCTCCAGCATCGATTTCTGACCATTGGGAGTGGTTTTGATCATCTCTGGGAGAGGTTTGGGAGATTCCTGAACCTGCTGTTTTATAGTTAATATGGATGATGTGGTTGTGTGCTTAGCACTCAGTGATTTGCTGCGCCAAGGTTTAACTGCAGAATTGGGTTGGGGGATGGCTGAAGAGTTATTACAACTGGCAGCATTGTTGCTACTGCTGTTTTGAACCAAAGGGGGTCCATTTTCATTCATTCCTGTGGGTTGGGGGTCTAAACTGTCTGCTGGTTCTGGGGAGAGAAAAAAACAAAATGCAAGGTTGTTGACACTTTGGATTTGGACAAAACCTTCAGGTGAACATGATCTGCTTTCACAGTAGTTCAGTATTTAACGTATTTCAAAAATATAGAAATTACATTTTATATTCTATTATCTATCGATCGATCGATCGCACTTGAAATAATATCAGTTTTGGGGGGAGAGTAATATAATCAACTCCCTGGCAATTAAAATTGCTAAGGTTTTATTTTGTTTTTAATTGTAAGACTACTGGAGACTCCGTCTCTTTCTTACTACTCTGGATCACCCAATTTACATTTAGGCGTTTACCCAATTAGAGTGACATAGTTTGAAAGCTATCTAACCAAAGCTATACTTTAAAAAACAACAACATGAACTTAATGTGTACAGAAGCATCCAGCCTGACAATCCTGAAAAATGATTAATCGAAGAAACGGCATCTTGACACAATTCCAAATATAACAAGAATCAAACAAAACAAGACCAACGTTCACATACCACAATCGCCAAAAACAAAACAAAGCCCCACAACAACCAAACTTCAAATATCCATTAGATAACAACACATTAAATTTCATTTCTTAATCCACAAAACTAAAATTTGTTATACCTTTATTCTGACAAGAGTTTGTATGTGATCAATTTTACCCTAAACTGACAGCAGCTGCATTAAAAAGATGCAGCTGAAAATGTTTCCTCAATGAGTTAAAATCTCTTCTATGTTCCATTTCCTTGAAAGCATTTCATTCTTTTTTTTTTTTTTTTTTTAGAGAGAGCGAGCTTAAAAATCACCCTTACTCACCTCTGGAGAGCCTCTTCTTTTCTAAAGCTACTCCTTGCAAACTTTCTCTTCTGGAGCTCTTACATCCCAATTACTGCAAATATGTCTTCTGTCAGACTGCTGATGCTTCCAATTAACTTTTGTCATCTCTCACTGTTAGCCTGCCCTGCAGCTTGCTGGGGATTAACGGCTTTTACCTGCTATCCTGGATCCTTTAGCAATAAACGGCAAATAGAGTTTCCTGTGTTTTTTTTTTAACTTAAAAATAAACAGCAACTGGCAGTGAACGTTTGCAGCAGTTTGGAAAAGAACTGTGAATGTCGTTTTCTGAATCACACACTGCTGAAGCCACAGAGTCTCTTTGACTTCACTTCCAACTGCTCATGGAAGAGACAGCTCTGTTAATCTCACCAGTATGATCTGCACCAAACTGCTTCATATTTCCAACACACCCATCTTCCTTACTTAGCAGTGATTTGGATTTTTAAGAGATTTCTCTTGCAGTCAGCCTACACTGTCCTAACTGAAACAGATGTATATGCTCATTTTATAGAGAGCAGGCATTGCTAGGATTGGAAGATTTCCAGAGTGTCATTAATTATAAATGATTAAACTAGATAATCTCTATTGCACTTTTTCCCTCCCTCGCCCACCCATCCCTTAAACTCTTATGCCAGAAGTTGGAGAAGGGAACCAACTCAGGTCTAAATGCCTCACAGCATGAACTAGATTTATAGATTTCTTTCTTTTTTTTTTTTTTTGGTATTAGTTAAATACCTAAGCAATCCCTTTTTATTTTGCAATTGGAACAGAAGTTCAGAGTCCACCAAAGGTCTGAATACACACTGCACCACGGTGCAGTCAACACATACAAATCAGTTCATAAGTTATGCTAAACATATCTGAAGAGCCAGATCTTAAACACATGATTTTGTACCCAACTGTATGTAAACATTAAACCACCTGTACAGATCAAGGAATTAATTCAATTCTGAAGCATCAATTGCAGCAAGGAAGAATTATTGATTCATTGATTTATGCAAAGTTCTGTATCCCATCCTTCTGATGCATATGGATCACTCAGCTACCTATGGAATTAAGATATTAAAGACTGGTTTGAACATTTCCAGAAAATGCTAAAATCTTTAGTCCTATAATTTTTTATTTGGTGTGTTATAATCAGTGGTGACTCCTGGTGACTGCCTGGACTAGTCCCTGCAGTTTTCTTGGCAAGGTTTTTCCGAAGTTGTTTGCCATTGTCTCCTTCCTAGGGCTGAGAGGGACTAGTCCAAAGCCACCCAGCTGGCTTCGTGCCTAAGACAGGACTAGAACTCACGGTCTCCCAGTTTCTAGCCTCGTGCCTTAACCACTACACAAACTGGCTCTCTTAGTCCTATAATACTTGTGAATAATTCCCAATTACCCCACCCCATCATACCTTTTATTATACAGTACTGTAGAATGTTAATTCCTTAAAACAGAAAAAGTTACATTCCCTCAGGGTTATTTCTGTGGGAAGCTCATGGTGATGGAGTTGCATAAAGAATAGCAAAGGCAATGCCAAATGCAAGGAGAGGCATTCATTTTTGGCATCCACTTCTCATTCTCCTAAATCACAAATTGCAGAAGTAGTAGTAGTATCTAGATGCCTGAAATGACTGATTGTACAGCACTTTTGAAATTAGACTGAAGATCATGTGCAACCAGGTAAGAGCCATATACAGCCCTTGGCAGAAAGTACCTAACCCTTACTTAAATAAACCCCCTATGAGCTGCATGTGGGAATCTGATAGCTCTAACTACAGATGGGATCCACAAAATGGAACCCATCCCTTCTCTGCCTCATTTCCAAATATGAATGTGGGACATCTTCATAGATATGGAGGCTGCAGAGGCGTCAAATGAAAGTTGACCTTTGTTATGGGTAGACTGCAAAACTTTACAGATAAGGCATTCATCTTCAGTTCCCAGTCTGGAGTTCCTGGGAGAGGAAACCCTTGTGTTAGGATTCTACCATGTACCTCCCTTATGACTGAATAAATGCTGATTATTATTTATAATGCTTTTTCTGGTCATTGGTCTTGGTCCTACCTCCGTGATTAAAGCATTTCATTTCCTAAAGTTCATTGCGCAGCAATTTCTTTCACTGTGTTCATCGTATCATCTCCTTTTGCAATGAGTAAAATTAATTCCCACCTGTCATCTTCCCTGAGGCAGTTTTGTTTCTTCAAGAGTGTTTGCCGACTTTAATCAACAACAAGTGAGACATGTTCAAATTCAAAATATGGTTAGGCTAAATAACCACTTTCTCTCCTCCTTTCAAAGGCAAGTGCTCAGCTTGGAGTTTATTTAATTCCCAGTGTTTCTGTTATAGATATGTTGGTGGTCCTGTTTGAATGCCAATGCACACTGTACCACAGTTAGCTTCAATTTCATCAGCTTCTGTAATATCTTCAAGGCTAGCCATTCACAATGAAACTATGTCAATAGTTTAAATTGTTCAGTGAAATGTTTGCGTTTGCACTATAAGAAGCACTGGAGAAAACGTATGTAATTTCCCATCATTTGTCAAGTTAAATCTAAACACAGGCTGCTTACTTACAGTTACCATTAGCTGTAGAGTTTTGTCAGAAATAAAGAAAATTAGTTTTAGAACATAATTCTAACTAACGTTAGTCATTGGAAAGAGTCAAAAATGAGTTTATAAACACTAGGGGATGAGGAGGGGGGGGCGGTGGGGAGAATCTGTGACCTCCCAGATAACAAAAGTTGGGAGACATTCTCTCCCTGCCCCCCACACAGAATCAGAGCAGGATGAATGGAATTAAGGACCACCCTATGACCAACATTTGCAAGTGTCAGTTAAATGCAGCTGGTCTGTCTGAGAGAAAGCAGTGGCTTCTAAACCTGCCTTAGAATCATATGTATGTATCTTCTCCTGGAACTATTCTCTTAAAGGCCCCAGAGTTATAATGAATCAAGGAACTGCAGTAAGTTTGCCTTTTTTCCTAAACGTGGTACTATATGACAATCTCAATCTGTATATGGTGCATTTGCATCCAAGAATAAACAGACTCCACATTAAAAATTTTGAGAATTCTCAGTTCTACAAATTTTATCTTACAGCAGTGAGACAGTGAGGGGTCTCCATGATGCTCCATGTAGCCTGTCAGTGTCCATGAAGAGTATGTGTGTGCCCTGGCCTCTTTCTGGTTGGTCCTGGAGACCAGGTGCCAAAAATGTGGGTGGTGTTGAATACTAGGAAAATCATGGATGAGGGACCACACAGTCCTGCCTAAGTGTATGGAGGCTGTAGGGGTCTGGATGGGGAGGAATAGCTACCTTGGGCAAGATTGAGTGGCTATGGGCTTGGGGACCACCTGATTTCAGAGATTTTCCATATATAGTTCTGGGTGGGGACATACTGCCCCAGTCAGAACTGGTACACAATCTGAGGCTTCTCTTGGACTCATGACTTCTGCTTGAAGAAGAGGTAGCAGCCCATGGTTAGGAGGTCTTTGCACAAATTCATCTTGTGTACCAGTTGGAACAGTCACTCATTCTTTCACCTGGATTGATGCACAGTGCTCCATCAAAGGCTCTCCTTGAAGACCATTTGTTTTGGTTTTTTTGAGGTATGCTCAAAATCAAAATGTTGCAATGTTGGTTTAAACTATTCTTTAATGCACCACCCAGAGACATTGAGAGCTTAATTAATAATTAAATTATTATTTTCTTTGACTAAATGTATAGTTTTAATGAGATGGAAGTTGCTTTCAAGTCCTCACATTCACTGACAACAACTGAAAAAAGTACTGAGGCAGAGGGGGAAAATGCACTCATTCTGACAGGGCAATTTGGAGCTAATATATTAAATCTACTAAAACATCTGCATGCATTTTACATGTATAACTTGGACCTGAGCTGTTTATTCAGAAAAAAGTAACCTTCATTTCGTTATCAGATAGGTTAAAAGGGTCTGGCCCTTCCAACAGCACTGCTTCTCTTATGTCCTTGCTGCCTGTCATAGTTGAAGAATGTGTCTGTAGAAGAAAACCTAAGTACTGAAGTTGTCCTGGCCCCCATTATACAATCTTGAGCTCTTGTCCCTTTTTTGCTCACCACTAGTGTTAAAATCTCATGTCCCAAATGTGTTTGTCCTCTGCAGACATAATAGATTGCTGCAATATCCTTGTTGTCATTACAGTATGCGTACATACATTTGCAGAGGTAAGTGTCAATCATCAAGGGATAATCTTATCCTCTAACTCATTTGGCAGGAAAAAAGTGTGAGACAGCTAAAATAAGCAGACGTGTGAAACTCATTGGTGGACAAAAACTTTTTGGCAGGCAAAATGGAACAAGAGCCCAATCTTGTTCAGGAAAATCTGATTAATTGCATATGAGAGAAGCAAAACAAGGGTGCTGAATTCAATATGACTTACATTTGTAGATGCACCCTGCAGACCATTACTGAAGATTCAGCAAAAGGGTTACAGCTACTCAAACAAAATAGCCAGTTGGCTTGCTTCTGCACCATCAATAGGTAGAATGGTCTTCTTGGCATAATACAGTGAGATGGGTGGCATATAAATTGGATTAATAAATAAGGCTTGACAGTATTCCATCCCCTTCATGGATCACTGCCTTGTCGTGGCGAAGGGGCTTGCGTAACTCAGTGAAGCCATGAGCTATACCGTGTAGGGCCACCCAAGACGGACAGGTCAT